CTCTCTCTCTCTTTCTCTCTCTCTCTCTCTCTCTCTTTCTCTCTCTCTCTCTCTCTCTCTCTCTCTCTCTCTCTCAGCTGACATGCAGGGGCCGGTGCATCCTTACCACAAGGTGACTGGGCTGCTGGATGGATGCGAGGCTGATAATGATGAGAAGGAGAAGAGAGGAAGGAGAGGACGGTGCCCAGTAGCTGCTGCCAGCGCTAAAGCAGATCATTTAGAAAACGTGATACCTCATTTATCCTCCTCAGAGCACCGCTCTTTGCTGTGCGTGCAAAAAAATGTCCGGGAGGAGAGAAAAAAAGGAGTCAGGTGTGGAGGTTAGACCAGTATTTGCCTCTGGGTTTGTGAACGACGTGTAAATGTCCTTGTCTGACACACAGTCAGTCTCAGAGAGACGGAGAGATAGGAGAAGGAGGAGGATGAGGACAGGGAGAAGAGGGGAGGGTGTTGGAATAAGAGTTATTCGATGTATCTGATAACTGGCCACATATTACGATCCTAATATCTAAAATATAATCCTAAAATATAAGAACCCTTAATTTGCTATGTTATACAAAAACATTTTCCAATGTTGTTTCAGTTTTCCCGATGGCATCAAAAAGAAAGATTTTCTGTGGTTTATCAGACATTTATTCAGCCTGACAGTAGGAATCTATCTGTCCTCATCATACAGCAGTTATGATACAGCAGGTTAAAGTCCTGTGAGTCACTACTCACTGTCACAACTGAACAACCTTGAATCCCCAAATGTGGCTAAAAGGAAACTGCTAACCTTATAAGGCCCAAACAATTTGCCCTTATTAAATCCACACCAGCTTTACACTTATACGTCTCCTTATTAAAACCAAGTCAGACTCAACAGGACACGATTGACATAGCTGTCTTAGTGTCACAATAGTAAAAAAAAAAGTATTTCATGGTAAGTCTGAGTCTGAAGTCGGAGTTTGGCCTAGTGGGGATTAAACACCAAGTCACCTGGAAAAAGAAGATCCTGTGATTTCAGGCAGGGATTTTATTTCAGAAAAAATAAATAAATAAATAAAAAAGAATTGGACATATTCCCCGGTCCTGTCCCTAGGGCTTAGAGTTTGAGCTTCAACCTCTAAAGACTGAGTGGAGTCACAATTTCTGCACTCAAGTTAAACAGCAACCTACTACCCTCAGACAAGGTTATAACTTATCTGCCCCATTGGCATTTGTGGACTGATGTCAGGCGCAGTGATGTGTTGCTTCCTTATCTGGGTGGCGGATGTAATATCTACAGGAGAGGAGCAGTGGGAGCCACCTTATTAAATCTTTAGACCATATTTCATAATCATATAAGGCTCACGGCCAAAAGCTGACTTGAATCAATAGGCAGTCATCTGAGAATAGAAGCTGTATGTCTGCAAGCCCTTGTTCTGAAGTTTTCTCCTACCTACAGTTTTTTGCTACAGGTGTCAACTGCGCATGCGCACATTGGCCGGTAGCAGAAATGTATAGCTATGGCTGAAGTTTTTTCCTATCTGAAGTTTTTTCCTACCCGTAGCGTAAATTTATAGACATATCTGACATTTGTGTTCAGGGTGGTACAATATTATTATACTATAATGAAATTACTATAAATATGTGCTTCGGACTCTATTCAAAGTGGTAGCACATTACTATAGGCATGAAATCGCTATAAATATGTGCTTCTCAGTGTATTTAAAGTGGTAGTACATAACTATAGACATGAAATCGCTATAAATACATGCTTCTGACTCTATTCAAAGTGGTAGCACATTACTATAGGTGTGAAATCGCTATAAATACGTGCTTCTGACTCTATTTAGAGTGTTAGCACATAACTATAGGCATGAAATTGCTATAAATACGTGCTTATGACTCTATTCAAAGTGGTAGCACATTACTATAGACATGAAATCACTATAAATACATACTTTGCACTGTATTTAGAGTGGTAGCACATTATTTGAGGCTAAAGAGAAAATCCCTGTTAATATATCTGTTCTCTTAGGGTTTAGGGTAGGACTTTATTTATGTTCTTTACATTTACATGTACATCTTACCAGACCAAAACAGAGGGAATGTAAAAATGTTACCCAATGCAGCACATAGTGTAAAACAGAAAATAATCACGCTCAATCTAGGATTTTTCAGCAAAGTGTTTATTTCAGCATTTCAGCAGGTACCTCTGACGGAAATACTGCTTCTCGTCCATACATGATAAAAAATGGAGAGTACATTCTGGTCGTGTCATCTTGTTGGTCATTAACCAGTTTCTTGAGGGCTCTAAAATTAAATCATAATATCACACAATATCAGTGCAATAATAAATGTGATGCACATCCTATAAAATTACCGTTTGATATTGTCATTGGTTTTTTCATTCAGACCATTCGTTTGTGGATGATATGCTGCGGTCACACTTCTCTCAATGCAGAGCAACTCACAAAGTCTGTTGTTAAGCTTTAAAAATAAATGGGAATTTGTCAACTGTTGATACACAACTGTGCTGAAGTTTTGAATGCTTGTTATTTAAATGTACATACGTCATTAACAAACTCTCTTCCCTGGTCAGAGAGAATGCGCTTTGGGCAGCCATGCCTGTATATAATACTGCAAATACATCTTGCAACGTGGCGCTTTGGCCCAGAGGCAATATCTCTGTCATTGGTGTGGAACCCCATGGTTCACCTCCTGGGCAAGTTTGAATCCCAGTTAGGGCGGTTGGTACCTTCCAGTGGACTCACCACCCGCAGGAAAGTTTAGGGGGGTTGGTACGGTTCAATGTGATTTGGGTGGCGACTGCTGTACCCGCGACCCGGTAACGGATAAGTGGCTGAAAATGGATGGATGGATGGATGGACATCTTGCAACTTCAGCAGCTGATTTGGACTTGAGTGGAAAAGCTTCTACCCACTTGGAAAAAAAAACAGTAGCTGTCAAAATGTATCAAAAGCCATCTCTTGTTTTTGGTAGTGGTCCAGTAAGGTAGATCCCAATCAAATCCCACACACTGGAGACCTTAAAAGAAAGTATGCACATCTTGATCATATTCACAAATTTAAATGTAGGGTTTATTTACATGTCCATGGTCCTTTTTTTTCACTAATGTGATTTCAGAACATTGTTAACAACTGTATGGTTTTAATATATATTTACCTTTATCTGCTATAACTCCCCCACTGCAATCAGTGGTTTTCCCACTTTTTGGCACCTGTCACATTGTAAGATCTTGAAAATATATAAACTGCATAATTAACAATTTGTGTTAAGTTTACAAAAAAAGCAGTCCGTTTATATAAAAATTACATACCCAGGTTTTTATGTCAACATACATCCCTTTCCAGTAAAACCTGGTAGAGATGGCTGCCCAGGTTTTCAGTATGCCAGTGTGACCTCCTATGGGTGATGAATGAAACTCTGTGAAGAGTCTTCTGGCTTCCTTCCTGGTTTTCACAGCCTTCTTATTTCCGATCTAGAGATGTCAATCTGTTAAGGATACATTACTTTAATAATGCTTTATCACCATGTACAATATTCTAAATAACACATATCATAGACTTGTGATACTAACCCCTTATTGTGAATTTTGATGCATAACTCCTGAGGTTTTGCTTCTGACTTTTCCCATATCCTGAGGGGTATGCGCCTTGAGCCAAGAGAGCATGCACCTAATTCCATTTACTTTCCATTTCTGTGAAACAACTTTAAAAGAAAGAAATGTCACTAAAAACAATGTCAAAGAAATGTCAGTAAAATAGTTGAAGAGTTCTGTTAGGCAAATGAACATGAAATGTTCTCAAAGAAGACGTTTCACTTCTCATCCAAGAGGCTTCTTCAATTGTGACTGGTGGTGGGGAGTACAGCAAATATATATTCTGTGTGTAACAAAGCAAAAAGCTACTTAACCCCACCTTCTTAACCCCCTGTTTGGTGGGGCATTGGGGTCAGCTAGTGTCAACTGGGGAAATGAAAACAGTTGTCAGGAGTCTGATGGGTCGTTGCATTCCTCGTTAGAATGGTTTCGGTCACATGTCTCTTTGTTGTGTGAAATGAGGAGACTCTTTTGGGAACCTTGAAACCTTGTATGTAGGTGATAGGTTGTGTCTTAGCCCACCCCCTCTGTTGAGTGATGATTTTTCCAGGTTGACAAAAATGGCTTCTTTTACGCTTCTCTCAAGTCATCTGTCTTCCCTGGTCAAAATGTGAACATGAGTCCTGTCCAGAAGAAGTTGCCCCCCCCCGCCCCCCCCGTGATGACTAAGAAGCATCATAGACAGAAGTTTAAAATGTTTATGTGGATTGCTCTATAACTTTCCGCTCCATCCAGTGTAAGATATTTTAGAATGAAAGATCAGTTACTTTTTTCTATTAAATGTATATATTAAAAGTATTTCTCTCAGAGAAAAAGGCAACTCTGATATAAGTTCACACAAGATTCATAAAATGGTTAATTATGTGAAATTTCCCTTTTTCTCCGTTTGTGTGTAGTTCCAATGCACACAAAGGAAATAAACCAATTATATACCTAACAAAACATAGCGATCAATAACTCAATGGAAGAAATACTTAATTTCATGGACAAATGTCAGAGGCCCATACACTTCCATCCAAGTCTGTAGGCCACTATCAGAGAATTGTAAACGATCTTATGCAATACTGTAAACCCTGCTCTAATTTACTAAGGTACTGTTTTAAAACAGCTGGAAAAATCGGAGTCTATATGGAGTAAGTTATATGACTACATGAAAATGACGATAAATCGCAGTATTAACTATTCAACTGCATTCAGACATGATCTCATGCATGTGGCCAGTTGAAATAAGTTGACTGTCAAACCTATGCACTGCATACTGGTCATATAAAGTATTTAAAATATAAGAAACTAACTTTGTTTAACGGTGGTGTAGTAGAAAACTATGGCTTGTCTGCAGCGGCAAATTGATTTGATGTGCACAATAATGTTGTACCACCCTGAACACAAATGTCAGATATGTCTATAAATTTACGCTATGGTTAGGAAAAAAATTCAGGTAGGAAAAAACTTCAGCTATAGCTATAAATTTCTGCTACCGGCCATGTGTGCATGCGCATTTGACTCGCGTAGCAAAAAAAACTATAGAAAGGAGGAAACTTCAGAACACTGTACTGCCTCTGCCTCTCACCGCTGCAGCGCACAGAACTCTCGTCAATCTTCCGCCTATATGTGAAGGAAGGTGAATTATTCACCTTCCTTCTTTGTGGGATTTGATGTACAACAAAAGTCTGTTATAGCCTAGTAATTATATTTTTTACAGACTGCAATTATAGAAGTTATTATATAGTTTGTTGCTACTCAAATGTTTTGTAGTTATATTTGAGTTTTATGGAATTGCATATGTTTACTCTGAAGTTCTTGTGAATAATTGAATTGAATAATCAGACATTTTACTCACATTTTACAGACTTTGATAGACCTTTTATCAACGTGGCTAAAGAAGAGTAAATAGTAAATAAAGCTCTTTGACTTACAAACCACTTTAAAGGAAATGCATATTCAGGGTTCCTCTAACCTGCTCAACTAGTTTGTATGCTTGTCTACCTTGTCAAAGCTCCACCCTGAAAACATATATGCTACACTAGAATATGAGGCCTCTCCTTGAATCGCAACCTTGATGAAGAAACCCCCCCTTGATGAAGAAAAAGACAGCAAAGAGGTTCACGTCGCCCGGATTGGCGTCACCGGAGCCCCACTCTGGAGCCAGGCCCGGGGTTGGGGCTCGCAGGCGAGCGCCTGGTGGCCGGGTCCTTGCTCACGGGACTCGGCCGGGCTCAGCCCGAACAAGTGACGTGAGTCCGCTTTCCAGTGGGCCCACCACCCGCAGGAAGGCCCACAAGGGACCGGTGCCTTGTGATTTGGGTGGCGGTTGTGGGCGGAGACCACGACGGCCCAATCCCTGGACAACCACTCTAGCTATGGGGACATGGAATGTCACCTCGCTGGGGGGAAAGGAGCCTGAGCTTGTGCAGGAGGTTGAGAGATACCGACTAGATATAGTCGGGCTCACCTCCACGCACAGTTTGGACTCTGGGACCCAACTCCTTGAGAGAGGCTGGACCCTTTTCTACTCCGGAGTTGCCCGCGGTGAGAGACGGCGTGCTGGCGTAGGCTTACTTATAGCCCCCCAGATTGCCAGTCGTGTGGTGGAGTCCTCCCCACTGAGTGAAAGGGTCGCTTCCCTGCGCCTTCGGGTCAGGGACAGGTGCCTCACTGTTGTTTCGGCCTACGGGCCGAACAGCAGTGCAGAATACCCGGCCTTCTTGCTGACACTGAGAGGAGTACTGGACAGTGCTCCTCCCGGGGATTCCATCGTCCTGTTGGGGGACTTCAACGCCCACGTGGGCAACGACAGTGACACCTGGAGGGGCGTGATTGGGAAGAATGGCCTCCCCGATCTAAATCCGAGTGGTGTTTTGTTATTGGACTTCTGTGCTAGTCACAGTTTGTCCATAACAAACACCATGTTCAAGCATAAAGGTGTCCACAAGTGCACCTGGCACCAGGACACCCTAGGCCGGAGGTCAATGATCGACTTTGTAGTCATCTGACATCCGGCCGTATGTATTGGACACTCGGGTGAAGAGAGGGGCTGAGCTCTCAACTGATCACCACCTGGTGGTGAGTTGGCTCCGCTTACGATGGGCAAAGCTGGATAGACCTGGCAGGCCCAAACGTATCGTGAGCTTTTTATAGCACAAAAATATAAATGTAACATAAATGTAGTATTCCAAGTATTTTTTAGAATCCATCTTCGTGAGGATGTGATGCTGCTGCACATGTTTGAACTAGAGTCATACCAAATAGCTCCTGTTTAGACAATGTCTGGTTTTTTGGACAACTTTTTCCTGACCTGTCCCATTTAACCCCTCTGGAAATGTAAAACCATTTATCTAAATCAATTCATCTAATTAGCAGTTAAGCTATATGTTTTTAAGTTTTACATTACTAAATGCCTAAAATGTTGATCTGATATGTGACAGGCAGAGGATCACTCATACGTCAGTGAATCCTCAGATGAGACAGAGTCGGAGAAAATGACTGATCAGCGCACGAAGAGGTTGAAGGTTTTTTTACATCAGCTTTCTGTCATTTGTCTTGTGTTTTTTGTTTGTTTGTTTGTTTTTCAATGTGATACTATTATTTTTCTCTTCCTATATGTTTAGCTCCCTAGAGAGGAAAGTAGAGGAGGTTCAAAATTATTTCACAAAGCATAGACACTACATCTGCAACTTTGTCAAAGTGGCTTTATCAGCAGGTTAGTTCTCCTCTTTGTTTGTATCAGTTAAAGTCTAACAAAAACGAATCTTCTTCTTCTTTCGGCTTTGTCCCTTTTTCAGGGGTTGCCACAGCAAATCATTGATTTCCATCTCTCCCTGTTCTCTGTATCTTCTACTCTGACTCCAACTACCTGCATGTCCTCCCTCACTGCATCCATATATCTCCTCTTTGGCCTTCCTCTCTTTCTCCTACCTGGTAGCTCCATCTCTAACATTCTTCTACCAATGTATCCACTGTCCCTCCTCTGCACATGTCCAAACCATCTCAATCTGGCTTCTCTAGCTTTTTCTCCAAACCTTCCTGTCTGTGTTGTCCCTCTAATGACCTCATTCCTGACCCTGTCCATTCTTGTCACTCCTAAAGAGAATCTTAGCATCTTTAACTCTGCCACCTCCAGCTCCTCCTCCTGTCTTCTGCCTATTGCTACTGTCTCTAAACCATACATCATGGCTGGGCTCACCACTGTCCTGTAAACCTTTCCCTTCACCTTAGCTGACACTCTTCTGTCACAGATCACTCCTGACACTTTTCTCCAGCTGTTCCATCCTGCCTGTACTCTATTTTTCACCTCTCTTCCACAGTCTCCGCTGCTCTGAACAGTTGATCCTAAGTACCTAAACTAAGTACCTAAACATCCATTCAGGGTATGGTAGGGTATAAATACATTTCACCATGTATTCAGCCTCGCTGACAAACACACGCAGTCACATGATAATATGTCACTCATGTCCGATGCAGTGGCCTTGCCAAACATTGCTCAATGGGATTGTGCTACAGTTTGTGTTTGGTCTCCTGACTCTCAGGACCAACGTTGGCTTAACAGCTCTGGAATGGATTGGAAACAAGGCAAAGGTACATAATTGTTTGTTATAAAGCTATTTAGTCACGTCTTTATCATTTCCAAAATGTATTATTAATGATTCAAATGTCCTCTGTACAGACATTTCTGTCATTTGCAGCTGTTGGGTCTGAGTTTGTGTTCGGCATCAGTTTTAAAGATCACCTCTTTGTCTTTCAGGTATGACATATAGTCTTGGTGTTTGCAGAAAAAATAGCAAATATGTTTTTGCAATTAATTCCAGCTCTGTGTGACATCAGGATACAATTGTATCTAGTTAATAAACCAAATAAAACCATAACCATGATTAAGTAAATTGGAATATAGCAAATTATTACACATCTGGTTGCTGAAAATTCTGTTCTTAATTCATGTGGCCTATAATTTTAAATATAACATGAGGCTCAAAGTAATGATATTATTATATACGGCTGCATTTGTCACGTTTGAAGTTGACTCTCTCCAGGTGATGCCTATACTGGTGTTTCTAGGCAGCGTTATCGCCATGCTCTTCTACAGTGGCTTCATGCATTGGCTGATTTGTAATGTAAGACTAAAAAATATCTTAATGTTCTACAGACTTTTTTTTTTTCAAAACAAAAAGAGGCACATAGTCAATATTTTAATTTATGTTGTTTTCTTTCAGATTGGTTTCCTAATGCAGCATACAATGGGAACATCTCCAACAGAATCAATGGCTGCAGCTGGGAATATATTTTTAGGACAGGTGACAGAAAAAAAAACAGCGTTCCTAGACAGAAATCTTGTTTTCTGCCAGACTAACCTGCTCCATTTGTTGCAGACGGAGACAGTTCTCCTGATTAAGCCGTACATCAGTGCCCTAACCCTCTCTGAGATCCATGCTTTGATGACAGGGGGGTTTGCCAGCATCTCTGGTAGCATTTTAGGAGCCTTTATCGCTTTGGTGGTAAGGAATATGAAGAAAGAAGAAGAGTGTTTCAATAATTATTCAAAGCCTGTTTTAAGCCAATTTCAAAACCCAACATTGTAATGTAATCAACTTAATGTCAAAGTTAAAAACATAGGTCACATTCCGTTGTATGTGCAGTGGTGTGCTGTGTGACAATGACAAATAATTCACCTTCACTTTGACTTTCACTTAATGTAAGAGCTAATGCTAATGAGGCACAAGACAACAGCACTATTTATTGTTGTATATACCTGTACATACATGAGGTTTATTTACACAGCATCTTTCAACAGCAGGATGAAAAGTAAAGTAAAATGCTTTAAAGATGAAAAAAAAACAGGTGCAGTAGGTTTGCTAGGTTCATAAATAGAAATATTTTATATTAAAGTCTAGGTTTGTGCAGGACTTCAATAGCAGTGACTTTGTTATATATATATATCAAATTATTTCATATATATATAATTAATATTAACATTGTCTTTGTTTTTTGTTTCTTCTCTTTAGATTGAGGCAGCACACTTGTTGACAGCATCGCTGATGTCAGCACCAGCTTCTCTTGCAATCGCTAAAACATTCTGGCCTGAAACAGAGGTTCCAGCGTCTTTCAAAGACAATGACCTAAAAATCGAAAAAGGGTAAGAAACATATATTTAAAAAAAAAATATATATATGGTCATTGAACATCCAGGGCCCTGCTGATGACCATAGATGTTTACAATTCGGAAAAAGCTCAGAAGACACAAAATTATCAAAATGTTTACAAGGGTTGTTAAAATGAACAGGTAGAATATTTTAGTTAATTTTTCAAATCAATCAATTTTTTTGCATTCAGCACTTGCATAAGATGATGCACACTGTATGTCATCTATCCCATGTCATCACTCTTATACATGGACACACCCCGCATGCATGTGTGCATGTGGGTTTGCATCAAATGAACCTTACCAAGTACAAGGTGGTAAATGAGTCTATGGCTGACAATCTTATTATAATCTAAGGCTACTGTGTAATTAGAATTGCACTTGCCTTGTTTTAAACAGTTAAAAAAATAATTAGTTACCATCTCTGACTTTGATTAATCATAATACAACTTTAGCTACACCATGCCACAGATAGAATAAGTAATGTTCAAGTGAAAATAGTAAATGGATATGACTGGATTATTTTTGAATAAAGTAAATGTGTAAAACCGAAGTACATTTTTTCACTCCGTACAAATGACATCGAACCAGCACCAGTCCCCAGCCCGGGGGTAGGGGGGGCCCTGATATAGAGAATTTAGAAGTCCATACGAGATCTGATCTCATCTGAATTTTTTACAAAAGGAATAATCCCAGGATTACATGGTTGGTTTCTCACATTTAGATAACAACTTGTTTCTCTTTAGAGAGAGTAAAAGCCTCTTGGACGCAATCTCTGATGGTGCAATGAGTTCTGTTGGTGTTGTGACCAGCATTGTTGTCAATATCATTTCCTTTCTGGCATTGTTGGCCTTTTGTGATGCTGCCCTCTCCTGGTTGGGAGAGATGTTTGACTGTCCACAGCTCAGCTTTGGGGTAAAAGAAACCACACACAGACAAACGCTGAGTTGTCCAGTGTATCAGTAGAACAGCTGTTAACTCACACTCACTTTGACTCTTTCTGTTCCATCTAGCTCATCTGCTCTTATGTCTTCATGCCTATCTCCTTCATGATGGGCGTTTCCTGGGAGGACAGCTTCGTTGTTGCCGAGCTGCTGGGCGTAAAGACATTTCTCAATGAGTTTGTGGCCTATCAGAAACTTTCAGTGCTGATTATGAAACGAAAGGAAGGCGGTCCAGAGTATGTGGATAATGTGAAGCAGTATATCTCCGTAGGTCTAATATTCTTGTATGTTTTTTTGTGAGTTGTCTTCAGTAAAACATGCTCTACTTTTTCAACTTTTCCTTGAAATGTGATAGCATTTTAGAAAAATCACTCGCAGCAAAGTCATGTTTTTCAGCATCAAAATGTGACAAAACCTGTTAAGACTCTTGACTAGGGATGTCCGATAACATCATAATATCATAATTATTTAATATGCGTAAGAGTCATTATTGATTTTTCCTCCGATAATGAAAACCCAATAACACAATGCCTTGGTTTTGGCCAAATGATGTGTGACCTAAATATATTTTTGGGAAAAAAACAGCTGTATGTGAAAGTGAAAACCACTGGATGGCAGCATTTGAGGTAATTTTATTAATCTATTTTGACAATCAGGGGATTGTATGCAGAATGCTGGTGCCAGCAACTCATACAGTGGTTTGGTCAAATAAATAAATAAATATTACCAGGCACTCAATAGTATTTATACTATTGATCTCAATAGTAGGCAGCAGACAACTTCCATATCCACCAGGCCACCACTGTTGATATTGGAATCGGAAAGTGTTTGGACAATATCGGCATATTGGATAATGGCAAAAAGTTAACATACCTAATTTTTTACTATTTTTGACTTCAATATTCATTATTTTTCTTCTTGTACTGTAGGTCCACTCTGAAACCATCGCAACCTATGCCTTGTGTGGATTTTCCAACTTTGCTTCATTGGGGATGACAGTTGGAGCTCTAAGTAAGTGTAGTGTCTAAATGGTTAGTGAGGCTGGACATTAATTGGTCTAAATTTCAGCACTGATTCTGGGCTTTTACTGTTCAGAAGATTTTCCAGAAGATTATAAGTGATGCATTCACATTCGTATTTTGTAGCTGACAGTGTGGCTCAAACTTTCTGTCTTTTCAGCAGCCTTAGCTCCTAACAGACAGTCCGACTTCTCCAGCTGTGGGATCAGGGCTCTGGTTGCAGGCTCTTTCTCTTGTTTTATGACTGCTTGCATTGCAGGTAATTGTTGAGTCTACGTCTGTTTTCCTGTTAATAATTTTACTGCAAATTCATAAAGGCATGGTAATAACTGAAACATGATAGAAGGAACATTGAACAGTGCCTTCAAATACACCAAGAAGGCATGGAGGAATATTTATCCATCCATCCATCTTCATCCACTTATCCGTTACCGGGTCGCGGGAGCAGCAGTCTCTGCGACCGCCACCCAAATCACACTGCACCTGCGGGTGGTGAGTCCACTGAAAGCCCTAACCGGCGGCCACAGAGGAATTTTTATGACTTATATAAAGTTGGCAAGATTTGTTTGATGATTTTCATCAATCGTTTATTCTCTTCACTTTTCAAGATTTGTGTCAACTGTTAATTTCTTAAGTTCTCATGCAAAAGGAAGTTAATCCTGGACAAGAAAAACAGAAAAATACTATTTAAATTAAACAATTAATTACATTCATTTTTAATTACTGTCAGTTGTTATGCCTTGCATTTTTCAGGCATTCTGTACATCCCTGACCCTCTGTGCCCACTTCACCTGAGCTCACAGTTTAACAACTCTAATGTGACCAGCAGCATAGAACTGCTCACCTGCTGCACAGGGCTGTACGAAAGGTGTGTGTACATACGTGTGTGTTTCTACAAGCTGGTGATTTCTTATATTTTAGATCAATTTTACCATGTTTTTGACTCCAATCATGTTTGTTCTGGATACAGTATAGTTAGCTGATGATTACTGGACTGGGGTAGCCAGGTTGTGGAATAAACTGCTTATGTTAATTTTGATTATTAGCATAACGTTTTTATAACAACTTCATGGAGATGCCTAGAGTTACTCAGAGATAGTTATTTGAATTATTTCAATAACTAATAAGCTAATTTGCAGATAGTTTAGCTTAGGATTTGTTGTCTTACAAAGTTTTAGTAGTGCATTTGTGTAATTGTTTGTTTTATTTACAGTGTTAAATTGCAAGGGTCATGGAACGTGACCCTGGGAGAAGGATTCACTCTAAGCAGTCTGCGAGGATGCTGTGTTCTAACTCCCTCTCCACATTTTAACTGCAGCTCTATACTTTGAGTCAGTCAAAAACAAACATCTTACCCCAGTGACAAACATATCAATAGTTTTTATATGTAATATATAGATACAAAATCGTATTAGTGGAGATATTTTTAATAGCTCACCTGAGTGCCACTGTGGGAGGTGATGGAAACATTTACACATTTAACCTGCCCATTCATTAATCCAGGTGTGGGGAACAAGTCGTTTTTCTTTTTTTTTTTTACCCATGTTGGCAGTGGTTTTTGAGTTTTTGGTTCGGCCTTTTATATTTTTGAAGGTAAATGGATTGGCATATCCAAACATTTTCTTTTAAAGAAGTATTATTTTGTGTAACTGAATGAGACAAAAACACAGGAGCCAAGTAGAAACATCACGCTGATGGCCGCAAGTGGCTCACTAAGAAAATGTGCATAATCAAGTATAAAACATAGGTAAAAACCTGAATAAATAAATATATATAAATTGAATAAAACGACGGGATATTCACGTTGGTTCACAAATGCTTTATTCTAAATGCACAATAAGATTATTCCAAAAACATGTTATAAATGTTCATTTAATTTATAAAATGTGTATATGTGTGTGTGTGTATGTGCGTGAAGCTATATATAGTCACGAACTCGTTATTTACTAGATTTGTCGCTATTCCATTTTTTCTTTACAATACAATGCAGTACATAAAATGAGCACTCTCATATGAGTACTATTAAGCAGTCAGTCATTCCAACAAGTATAAAAGGTATCAAGGGGTAGCACTTTAAACATCTACATGTGTGAGACACTGACTCACATTCAGACAGCAAATGACAGTTTCTTCATTAAGGCCACCGCAAGCATAGCATCAGATGGCTCCCTTCTCAGTGGGGAGGAGGTGTGTTCAAATGTGTGACTTTCACACACCCACAGAGAGGGAACATTAGACTCACCCATCAGACACTGTCACATGGGGCATTTTAATGTTCTGTCTAACCATGTGTTATCCAGAAAAAGAAGAAGAAAAAAAGAAAAGTGAGATATCATGAGGCTCAAAATACTTTCTACAGGGCGTGTTATTTGTTTGGTAGATTCAGGATTTGTACCTTTTCTTCTCAGGAACTGGGAATTTGTATTAGTAATGATCGACGTCTATGAACAAATGTGTTATGAGCCACAGCAGCTTAGCAGAAAATGTAGTCCATCCATGTCCCTGCAAGTTCCAAAATTGTAAGTCTTGTAAAACCCTTAAATACAGTGTTTTAAAACTGTAGAAAAATAGCTAGATGTTAGCCATGGAGATAGCTTTGGTGTATGAGATATTTTACACTCCCTGAAAGCCACTGCGGAAAAAGTTAAAATTTTAAAAAAGGAGTTCACCACATGATAATAAATCTAAATGAATTTGAGTAATTTCGCTTATTTATTATTATTATTTGTTATAATGATAATCCATCCATCCATCCATTTTCATCCGCTTATCCATTATCGGGTTGCAGGGGCAGCAGTCTGCATGACCACCACCCAAATCACACTGCACCGTACCAACCCCCATGAACCTTCCTGGGTGGTGAGTTTACTGGAAGGTACCAACCGCCCTAACTAGGATTCAAACTTGCCCAGGAGGTTAACCCTGGGCTTCCACACCAATGACGGAGACATTGCCTCTGGGCCAAAGAGCCACTATAATAATAATAATAATAATTGCTATTATTATTTGGAGTGGAGTTCTCCCCACTTAGTGAGAGGGTCACTTCCCTGCGCCTTCGGGTCAGGGATAGCCTTCAATTCCCACCTCCAGGAGAGCTTTGAACAGGTCCCGAGGGAGGCTGGAGACATTGAGTCTGAGTGGACTATGTTCCCCACTTCCATTGTTGGCGCAGCTGTCCGAAGCTGCAGCCGTAAGGTCTCCGGTGCCTGTCATGACGGCAATCCCCAAACCCGGTGGTGGACACCAGAGATAGGGGAAGTCGTCAAGCTTAAGAAGGAGTCCTACCGAGCCTGGTTGGTTCGTGGGACTCCTGAGGCAGCCGACAGGTACAGACAGGCCAAGCGGACTGCAGCTCGGGTAGTCATGGAAGCAAAAACTCGGGTCTGGGAAAAGTTCGGGGAGGCCATGGAAGAGGATTACTGGTTGGCCTAAAAAAAATTCTGGCAAACCATCCGGTGCCTCAGGAAGGTGAAGCAGTTTCCCACCACCGCTGTTTACAGCGAAAGGCGCCAGGGGTGGATGAGATCTGCCCTGAGTACCTCGCTGGATGTTGTGAGGCTGTCTTGGTTGACACGTCTCTGCAGCATCGCGTGGCAGTCCGGGACAATACCCCTGGACTGGCAGACCGGGGGTGTGTTCTAACTATCGGGGGATCACACTCCTCAGCCTCTCGGGAAAAGTCTATTCCAGGGTACTGGAGAGGAGAATCCTGCCGATAGTCGAACCTCGGATTCAAAAGGAACAATGCGGTTTTCGTCCTGGTCGTGGAAGACTGGACCAGCTCTATACCCTCCACTGGGTGCTTGAGGGTTCATGGGAGTTTGCCAAACCAGTCCACATGTGTTTTGTGACTTGGAAAAGGCTTTCGACCGTGTCCCTCATGGTGTTCTGTAGGGGGTGCTCCAAGAGTATGAGGTCGGGGCCACCTTCTAAGGGCTGCTTGGTTCGCATTGCCGGCAGTAAGTCGGAGCTGTTCCCGGTGCATGTTGGACTACGGCAGGGCTGCCCTTTGTCACCAGTTCTGTTCATTATCTTTATGGACAGAATTTCTAGGCACAGCCAGGTGTCGGGTGGGGTCCAGTTCGGGAGCCACTGGATTTCATCTCTGCTTTTTGCGGATGATGTGGTCTTGTTGGCTTCTTTGAGCCAGGACCTTCAGCATGCCCTGGGGCGGTTCGCAGCCAAGTGTAAAGCCGCTGGGATGAGAATTAGCAACTCTAAGTCCGAGGACATGGTTCTCAACCAGAAAAAGGTGGTTTGCCCCCTCCAGGTTGGGGAGGAAGTCCTGGAGGAGTTTAAGTACCTTGGGGTCTTGTTCACTAGTGGTAGGATGGAACGTGAGATTGACAGGAGGAGCAGCCGCAGTAATGTGGTCGCTGTATCAGTCTGTTGTGACGAAGAAGGAGCTGTGCCGAAAGGCGAAGCTCTCGATTTACCGGATGATCTATGTTCCTACCCTCACCTATGGTCATGAGCTTTGGGTCATGACCGAAAGAACAAGATCCCGGATACAAGCGGCTGAAACAAGCTTTCTCCGCAGGGTGGCAGAGCACTCACTTAGAGATAGGGTGAGGAGCTCTGTCACCTGAGAGGAGCTCGAAGTAGAGCTGCCGCTCCTCCACATCAAGAGGAGTCAGTTGAGGTGGCTTGGGCATTTACATTACCCCCCGGACGCCTCCCTCAGGAGGTGCTCGGGTCCAGTTCCTCCGGAAGGAGACCTAGGGGAAGACCCGCTGGAGCAACTTAGATGCTCGGCTGGCATTGGAGCGCCTTGGGGTCCCTCCAGAAGAGCTGGAGGAAGTGTCTGGTGTTGGAAGAATTTAATTTATTATCATTTCTTCATGCTGTACTGTCGCTTTAAGGAACTGTTTGCTTCTCATATTATAATCTAGTGTGCTCAAGACTGAACATAAATTGGTCCTTCGAGCCGGATGCCAACAAATTAAGCAGAACCTAAGGATTGGGTGGAGAACGACTGAAAACCGTGCACGGCCAGAACCAGGTTCTGGGGAAAGACCTGGGGAGTGAATTCTCACTCAGGCCAGTACTCCGACACCTGATCCTGGGCTGCTGATTGATGGCATCTGATACCAGAATAAGATCGACGACGAGGGTGAGAAACAACTTTTTATTACCAGCGCCTGGTTGC